TATTAATGGGTAAAGGATAGCAAGATTTTTAAGGCTTTGAACCGTGTCCTGATGAGTCTCAGAAATGTTTCAATACAGCTACCACTAAAAATTTAAGAGTGCCTCTTTTCTTCTAACCTCACCAATATTGCCAGTTACCATTTTGGAAGGGGAAAAAAAGACATAGGGATGCTTTGTATTTATTCAAAAAAAAGGTTTCAACTCATTTCTTCAAGTGTGGGTATATGCATCACTTCATAGTCACTGGGACAAAATACCCAATACCTGTGATAGAAACGAGAGCTCTGTTTGACTCATGGTTCCAGAGTGCTTGGTCCATGGTCAGCTGACTCCATGCCAGAAATGGCATGATGAAGAGCATGGTGGAGCAAAGCTGCTCCAGTCATGCCATCCAGGCAGTGGAGAGGTGAGAAGAGCCGACCCAAGCATGCACCTTCCAGGTCACACCCCACAAAGGACCTGCTTGCAACAGCACATTCAGTTATAAACCCTCCAGTGGATTAATCCACTGATAAGGAAAGTGCCCCAGGGAAGCAAGCACCTTCCAAAAGCTCCACCTTTGAGTGGATTTGAATGAAAATTTTAGACCTAAATCATAGAAGCGTGGTTTATATATTTCAGATAATGCTGCAATGGAACTTTAGGCAATGTTCCCAGACAAGCCTACTAGAGATATTCTTCTCTAATCTCATGTTTTATTTTCAAAATTTTTCTTTGCAAATATCATATTAATGTAAGTTTCCAAGGTATATACAAGTCAAAATATGAAAGTACTGCATACTTCTGAAAAAGAATCCAAGCATGCCTCTACTACTATGATTATATTCAACACAAAACTAACTTAAATTGGGAACTAAGAGTTAAAGAGTTTCCTTTTTGTGGACAATAGTAGGACTCCTCCATACATAGATAAAATAACAATATTACAGTATCATTTTCCTGGAGAATTTGCAGAGCACCATATTCTTGTAAATTACTGTTATGTACTTGGATTTCCTTTGCAAGAAGAGATTCTAAGCAACAAATATACACTTATTTTTCTGGAAACATCCCCAAGCCTCTCAGTCCAGCATTTTAAAAGGAGTCTGAAGGTTCTCTGTGCCATCTATAGCTCTCTGAGACCAAATTAATTGTGTGACCAGAGAATCCACTTCCTCGTTGCTCACGTCCAGAAGCAGCGGCAGGGAGTCCCAGTGAGTCCAACTCGACGGTTGCATTTTGATGTGCATCAGCGCTGGCAGCATTTCTCTCTGCCTCATCAATCCCAGCTTGAACATTTACCCATAGCCAGCTTCTCCCTGTTTCCCTATTCATCCTGCAAGACGGGCTGAGCCAAAATGGACTTGATTTAAGGCTTCCTTTAGGTATAAAATAAGACAACCCACATCTCAAATCTTCTGTTACTGGGTTTGAGTTACACAAGCTTTTATAGCTTTCATTTGCTTTAGAACTTGGACGCTCCATGTTATCAATCATTAAACACACTTTTAATTTGTGTCAACAGCTAGAATTCATTCAGTTTTCCAAAGTTTTAATCTCTCCAGGGCCTAAAAGGTTGTTCTTTCCACAAATGAGCTTCTTGGATGTTCCAAACTTACTTTATATATTGTAGAAAAGATAAAAGTGTATATTCCCTGATTCAGATTTACAAATTATCTAACAATTGTGTGCTACAAAAGATTTTTATCCAACTTAAACTTTATCCCAATGACATGAAATTCTAAACATGCTTGCAACAACATGTTTACCAGCAATTCCAGTGAACTAAAATAATAACTGATTAGTATTTAATATATTGTCATTTTAATTTAACAGGAATTATGATCCTAATAGGGATGTGAGAAAATATGAGTATTTTGAAGAGGGGAGAAGGTCAGAGTACAGGATCCAGTTTTCAGTCCCCACTCTGCTGGCTCCAGGGTACAATAAATGAAACTCAAATGGAAAACTGTAAGAAACACTTCAGGCAGAAGCTTTCTGAACCCCAATGCAGCATCAATAGGGACCAAATATATACATGTAGTAACAAGATCTAATTTTTATTAAGAACAGTGTATGCTGCTACATCATCATTTTATGTACTCAAATTCATATAACCTTGCAGCCTTTTTGTGGTCTGTGTTTGATTAGCCCTGAATTGGAGATGAAAGAAATGAGGCTCCACAGGCTTAAAAACTAGCAAACTAGGAATTCCTGCAGTGCCAGAGCTGGAGGGGGCACAGCTGCATTCGCGTCCCATCTTCTTCCAACTTTGCCATGGATTCTCCAAGTGAGAAGAAACAGGAAAGGCTGTAAGGTACAGTTTATGCACTGGACACCATTCAGGACACTTAACAGTTGTTATTATTTAACCATCTCTAATGCTTTATGTGTGGGAGGTGGGAATTTTGGATGGTAATCAAATCATGGGAATACTGATCTCATCAAATGTTTAATACATGCATAGGTGTTATGGATATGTCTAGATGTCCCCCCCAAAACTTCATGCAGTCATACATTTTCTTCAGACATGGCTGAATCTAGAGTGTGTGCTTGATTAATAGTACAATGCTAGAATTAAGGATGCTGGACTCTTTTAGAATATTTTGCTGAATTTACACACATATAGCATTCAAATAATGGAACTTAACAAAAAAAAACGTATACAGATGAATATCCATTTTTGTATCTGTGTATTCAAAGTGGTTTGGTTAGATATATAGTTACATTCTCTTAATGAATACAGTGATTTGTTCTAATGGTGTTTGTAAATAGGATATCATGTCCACATCTTGTACAGCAATTAACCACTAGGAAGAATGTATGCAATGTGTTACTTATTGAAATTGTCCTACCAATTTGATTTGAAACTGTCTCATTGCTATTTGTTTATCAATAAAATTATGGGGGGAAAAAAGGGTGCTAGAGATTAAGAGTGAATGCTTGCTGGTTCAGTCCACTGATTAGTTTGGCTTTGACCTAATCTCATCAGCCTGGATAGATTATAAAAGAGGCAGAAAGACATTGTTGATTTTTCTGTCTTCTGCCAACCAGAAACAATTATCCTCTGTAAAACCCCCCTACCCTAGGGCCAGCTGATTATAGACTTGTCTCATTTACTCTTCTCTCATTGCTGGGACAAATGCCTGACACCCATACTGAAGGAATGAAAGGTTTATTTGGCTCACAGTTTGTGGAGGTTTCAATCCCTATTCTGCTGGCTCCAAGGCAAGCGTGGCATGTGACGGCACAGAGTAGCCATTCATAGCAGCAGCAAAGAGCAAAAGAGAGGAGTAGCAGCAACAATGGCAACAGAGAGCAGGTCTGACTCCTTTATGCTGCACTGAGGCTAGCTGCCCCAGGCTGGGTGTAGCATTCACACCCATAATCCCAGCAGCACTAACACCCATAATCCCAGCACTAAATCATGAATTAATCACGAAGTCTAGAAGTCCACCCATGACTGCTTTGGGGGGACATCTAGACACAAACCATAGCAGGACTGAATCCTCTACAAGCTATGGGCTAAATAAACCTTCCCTCCTTTTACTTAGGATGTTGGGTATTTTGTCTCAGTGAGGACAAAAGTAGCTAAGACGGTAAGGCTCTACTTGGGTCTTTAGGAGTTACTGCCTAGTTGGAAGAGATGGGTGAGGGGTGGGAGCTCTGAAGTACCTCTCTGTCTCTGGCTTTCCCTCTTTCTCTGCTTCCAGCTGCCACAAGGTGAGCAGCTATCCTCTGCCATGTTCCTCTGCCTTGTTTCTGCCTTGATGCCAGATGACCATGGACTGAAGCCAAAAGTCAAAATTTTCTCCTTAAATTGCACATATCAGGTATTTGATCCAGCAAGGGAAAGTTGATGAATACAGCACCAAAGGAAATTGCAACTACATACAAGAATATAAGTGATCCCACTTTCAGAGTTTTATAGATCACAAGGTTTAGTATAATCTGAGGTACCGTTTCCGGTCTTTCAGATCCAATGTTCTGCAGGAAATAGAATATAAATCTACTTAGTATTATTTCCCCTTGTTACAAAAAATACTTAAGACAGATTTACTAGACTAGAAATAATATCAACTAGATACACATTATAAATAACAACAATGGCATAAAATGCAATCATTATTAAGATTAATCTGAAATGGCACATGAGCAGCCTGATAAATTTGCTAAGTATAAATGCTTGGCTTTTTAGTATAGAAACGTAAGGAAGCTTCATGATATTAATTTAGTGTACATAAAACAAGGCTGATCAATTGCTTAGATGGGAATCAGGTTCACTCATCCCTTAAATGAAGGGAAAAAAATCAAAGAGCATTGATATTTATCAGTGCGATGTATTGCCTGGAATATGCTTGCTGCGTGACCATTATAAGCACAGCCATTTGTTAAAAAAATATTGCTCATAGTTTCTAGAATATCTTTACCTGTGACAAAATATCTATGAGTCAAAAGAAGACAAAAATGCTTCATGTCAATCTGAAACTCAAGTTTACTTAAAATCTGTACTAAACAAGATAATATTCCAGCTAAATAAAAGTTTGTGGATCAAAGTAGAACTAAACAAGTACTAAATGATGCATGTCATATTGCCAAAATTAGCAAAAGTGGTGGTAAAAAGAAAGCAAAAGATTCACTGTCCCTCCCAATGATTGCATCTGGCTCAGAGTTAGAGTCTGCAGCAACTAACAAATGAAGCCCTATGGCAACATTGCCAGTCCTACGGATAAACCACTACTATTATGGGCTACTGGATTATATTGAATTATTTTGCTGAATTCATGCACCTACAATATTTAAATGGCAATGGAATACCCATCTCTGACAAAACTAAACAAAAAGGCCATACAAATGAAGGACCATTTTGTATCTATATATATACAAAATAGGATAGATATACAGCTACTTTCTCTTCATTCAATGAGAAGAAAGATTTGTACTAATAGTGTTTGGGCAGGATATCATGTTTGCATCTTGTACTATGAATAACTACTATGAAGACAGCAATATGCAATGTGGTGCTTGCTTCGCTGGCACATCTACCAAAATTGGAATGATACAGAGAAGATTAGCAAGGCCCCTGCGCAAGGATGATAGGCAAATTCATGAATCATTCCATATTTAAAAAAATATATATGCAATGTGTTAATTATTGAAACTGTCCTACTAACTGGTTTTGAAACTGTTTCATTGCTATTTGTTTCTCAATAAAATTAATTTTAAAAATTGTGACGCTGACAATAAAATAAACTAATGTATAAAAACAGACATTTTAGAGACCTTCAGTTCTGGTGCCCCTTCCTCTTCTTGGTAGCTATCTGACCTCTTTCTTTTCCATTTTGTTTCCCCAAAATAATTGCCTTTTGTTATTAAAAAAAAGTACTTAACTCTTTTTGAAACATCAATGATATTGCTATCCAAAGCAAAATATCTGAAATCCTAGGGAACGACACGTTAGAAAGTAAGAGTCTGTCTGGGATGATGCATAGTGCCCTGTTAAGTATCATTCAAGCAAATTAAAAGTTGAATCAGAAACAGAATAAGTGAAAAACAGTAAGAAGGCCAGCATCAAGTGACTTAGGAATCTCAGTGTCAGGAAAACTGCTGCAGAAGACAAAACCAGCTCAGGATGTCACCACCATGAATGAGAAACACCTGCCCAAGTCTAAGGGTGAAGCTAGAACTGGATTTGGTGAGAGAACCACCAGCTAAACATCCAAGAGCGCGCATATCAAAGCGAGCAGAGACAAAGCCAAGCAATATCTGTCTGTTACTCAAGCTGAATTCTGAATGGAGCCCTGTGATGGAAGCTAGGGAGGGAAAAACGGCACAAAAATATTGGCAAACCTAGAAAAGAGATTGTAAAGAAGAAAAAAATGATAGATGCCTCTAAAGAAGCAATCTGCTAGAACCAAAGTAAAAGGAATTTGAAAAGACATGCAGAAAGACCCGATACATAATATGGCATTAAGAAGGTCTTCAAAAGACCAATCTTGCTCATCAGAACAAAACATTAATTGGTCTATATGTAGTAAATCCCATTACTTAGGTTAGGTGCAGGAAATCAGATCCATTCCCTTATAAAATATATGCCTAAAATAGCAGTACTGAAAAATAAGAACTAATGCAATACACATACCAAAAGGAAGGCTGAGCGTATTTAAGCATTCTCTTCCTATTTGATAATATCTATTTTGATCCTTATTTACACTTTTGATTTCTCACACCAGAGAAACAATGTGATATTTACTCATGATTGCTTGATTTATTTCACTTAAGATTATGGCCTCAAGGTACATCCATTTCCCCAGAAATATCTCAAGTTTATCCTTCTTTATAGCTGAGTAGTACTCCATTGCATAAAAAAATCACTGTGGAATGATATTTTTGATTCTTTTAGGAAAATACCAAGAAAGAGAATAGTTGGGTCAAATGGAACTGTTGATTTTAGTTTTTTGAAGAATCTCCACACTGACTTCTGCAGTGGCTGTACCAGTCTGCACTCCCACCAACAGTAGAAGAGGATTCCTTTTCCCACACAACCTCTCTAGCATTTGTTATTGGTTGATTCCTTGATAATTGCCATTCTTTCGACACTTGATCTTAACCAAAAGGCCTAAAAGTGATAATTTCCATTCTTTCAAGAGTGAGATGAAATCTAAGCACTGTTTTAATTTACATCTCTTGAAGGACCATTGATGTTGATAAATTTATTTCATACATTTATTTGCAATTTCTACTTCTTCTTTTTTTTTGTTATTGAACCAGGGATTGAACTCAGGCTCTTGCACTTGCCAGAGAAGTGCTTATTCTACTGATCCATCTCCCTGGCCCTCTACTTCTTCATCTGAGATATCCTCTTTAATAAGTAGTGCTGGAAAAACTGGCTTTCCACATGCCAAAGACTAAAACTGGACACATATCTTTCACCATGCTCTTAACTAAAATTAAAATGGATCAAAGATGAAAATAAAAATACTAAATCTGCTGAAAGATGGAATAGGTAGAAGTCTCGAAGACGCTAGTGCAGGCAAAGGCTTTATTAATAAAACTCCAATCACATGAAAACTATAAAAAAGAATCAACAATTGGGATCTCATATTATAAAACTTTTGTACAGCAAAAGATATCAAGGCTGTTTTGAGACAACCTACAGAATGGGTAATTTTTTTCCAGCTCTTCCTCAGACAAAGAGCTAATACACACAATATAAAAAGAATTCAAAAAATCATAACCCTAGATTTAAAGACCCAGTCCAAAACTGGGCAAGTCAAATGAACAGACACTTCTGAGATGAAAAAGCAGAAGCTTAAGTATTGCAGTTTCTCTTATATAAGAAAAAAAAAAAAAAAAATATATATATATATATATATATATATATATATGTAGAAAGAGAGAGCAAAATAGAGGATATATATAGGAAATACAAAGAACTTCATATAATTCCCTAAATTACCTATTCTTTTGTTTCAAAATATTGTAATCTATATGCTAATTCATTTCATTTATACTACTGATTTCTCTTAGTTCACTGAGAAGTTTGTGTTACTGTGCGTTTGTTTCTGCTTTGTAAGAGTCTGTTGTCTCTGAGTAACAACTTCGAAAATAACATTACACAGTATTTTTTTATTTTTAAAGAATACAAAATAGTGATAGAAAAAACACAGCAAAAAAATCAACAGAGTTTTGAGACAGTCAGAAACAATACAAGATTTCATTAAACTAATAAGAATTCCACAATGGTTGCTGTATTACATGATGCTCTCTTCAAATTAGTTGTTCAGATTACCAGATACAAACATGTAAGATTCATTTAAAAAAAAAACAAACGAAAAAAGAAATTATAAGAAGAAAAAAAATCAGAGTGAAAAAAGTTATAAGCCTTAACTGCTCCTTTCAAAGGACTAGAAGAAATCAAAATACAAACTCTTCTATTCTGTCATTATTTTGTTATGAAATTTTGTTCTACTTTTTCATAAAAGAATGAAAATAAATCATCTACTTCAACACTTTTGGGAAAAATACCAAACATGGTAAAGAGCTGGAGTAGGTCAGGTGTGTCTCCAGCAAGCAACAGAGGAAACAGCAAAGTCAACAGTGTCCTTGGGTCTTAAGAAGAAAACAGCACCAGCAAAACACAAGGAAGTAGCCATACACAGGCAATCCAAAGCCTGAAGCCCCTCCCTCTGTTTCTAAAAGTTCTCACTCCTGCCCCAAGCGCAACAGGAAATGTCCTATGCTTGTTTTCTTGGCAACAACAAAATGTTCCCGTTGACTTGTGCTGACCTAGTTAACTACTGCTTTGCACCCCAAGTCCCCTAACCTCAAAAACATAACTGCGTACTGTTTCTGCTACTGTAAAAGTTCGCTTTGTTTGGATTCTAGGCCAACACAACTTAAACTAGGTCACAGAACGTCCCCCCTCCCACTGCTACGGGCTCAGACTTTGGAGAATGAGCCCCTCTGGGCCCACTAGCCTAATAAAGGACTTGGTTTTGCCCACCTTTTCCAGTGCATGCTCGGTTTCTCATGCCACCAGAGAATCCTGGTTCCTGTTTTCCACAACAGAAGGAATATGGAAACCATACCAGCAGGCAAGTTTTAAAATTATAAGATGATGTGTTGTATTACTCAATATTAATATTTAAAATATCCAACAAAATTGAGGTCTACCTTTTCAAATGTAAATTACTACTATTAACGATAGAAGGAGTGAAAATCAAACTCACAACCATAAACAATCCTGAAAAGGAGTACAAGAATTCCAAGCTCTGAAACCAGATGATTTTTTTTTGAATGTTTAAGGAAGTACTAATGCTACGTAAATTCCTCCAAAGTACAGAAATATGTAGATAGCTACATAATTTATATTGTAAAGATAACATTGCTCTGGTATTCAAACAAAAATAAAAACCAATCCCTTCTTAATATGTTCAAAACCCAAAATAACTTCTTTGATATGTTAAAAATCAACTTGGAATTATCCCCAGCACTCACAGATCTATTAAGTATTCAACAAAACAAGCATTTGATAGATAATAGCACATACTAAAAAAGATTTTGATATTACCAATTCTTGTTTTTCTTAAAATTAAGAAAGTAGAAATTGAAACTTTTCTGAATATTATAAATCATCAAAGAACATTATACTTCAAGATCAAATACTAGAGGCTACTCCATTAAAATTGTGAACAAAACAAAAGTGTCTATTGTGAACATTACTGTGCAAAATTTTGCATCAGTTGATGACAATGAAAAATACAAGAAATATTTAAAAATAAGAAAAACAGACAAATATTCATTGTTCACTGATGATAATATGATGAAAGGTCAATCATTGGAGAAAATCATGGTCAAAATAAGACTCTTGCACATAATGAGAGCTTAATAAATGAGTTAGAATAAGGAAAACAAAATTTGAACATTAATAATGGCTTTATTAACATTAATATGGTTTTTCTGTATTCTCACAATCATCAGCTAAAGCATGTAATGAAAAAATACGCAGGCTAGTTGCACCCTAAATTCATGACTTTCGGTTTCTGCTATGTCCTGCTCAGTCCCTACTGAACCTTTTAGGGGTCTGAGGCTCCCTTCCTCTCCCATCCCCACCCATTCATCTCCTTTGTGGCAGACAAACGCTGCCTTTTCATCAGATGAGCATCTTCCCAGGTTCCTGACATTAAGGTTACCACACACCTGTCTCCTTTCTTTTGCTTTCTTTTCTCTCAAAGTCCCAGAAGTCTAACCCTTCCCCCATGTCCTCCACCTTTTCGGAAACTTTGCATTGCTAACTGTCCCTCCATTCTATTTTGCCATTAGCCTCTCTTCCTTATTTTTCTATTCTACTACTAGATAAATGCACTGTTTTTAAGTCTCCCCCATTTCCAAACCCTCTTCTTTTTCTTCTTTCCTTCATGATAGCTTCTCTTTATAATAAATTTGGAATACTATGTATGTGTATCACTCTCGTGTCCCAGTCTTTGACTTGCTTCTTTAACCTGTTCTAATCTAGTTCCAACCACACTGCTCCTCAGAAAGAACTATTTAAAGGTCACCAATAGCCATCCTGCCTCTAAAGGAAAGGAAGAACCTTCAATCTTTGTCCTATCAATTGATCATTCC